TTCCTCAGAAACAGGAAATAGCTGGTCACGATTTTGCTCCACACTATGGTAAGATAAAGACTTAAACCATGTCAATTTAAAAAAGAATCTTTTAAGTTTTTCTCCTATGTTAAATCAATTGAATGGCCCACTAAACTCCCTGTTCTACAGATAAGCACGTGGAAAGGCTTTATTGAGAAATGAATTGACTTGCCTATTTTTCTTTTAAAAAATATATGTGATAGTTAAATGCTGTGTTGTATTCTCAGTTATTTCAAATTTTTCCTCCCCATTTTTTTCCTGTTTCTGCATGCATTTGCATTGGTTACACTTATCACTTTTGCTGTATTTTCTATGTGATATATATATATATATACACACACACACACACACACACACACACACACACACCGGTATATATATCACTATTGTAGGATGCCATCTACTTCTCAAAAAATTATAGCATCCCCCCCTAAACTGTAAACTGCTTTAAGGTTTTATTACATTCAAGCAGGGCTATCAGTGGCTACTGGAGGGATGCGGGTGGCGCTGTGGTCTAAACCACCTGAGACTTGGGCTTCCCGATCAGAAGGTCGGCAGTTCGAATCCCTGCGACGGGGTGAGCGTTTGTTGTTCGGTCCCTGCTCCTGTCAACCTAGCAGTTCGAAAGCACACCAAAAAGTGCAATTAGATAAATCGGTACCATTCTGGTGGGAAGGTAAACGGTGTTTCCATGCACTGTTCTGGTTTCACCAGAAGCGGCTTAGTCATGCTGGCCACATGACCCAGAAAAATGAGCGCCGCAACCCCAGAGTCGTTCACAACTGGACTTAACTGTCAGGGGTCCTTTAAAGGTAAAGGGTAAAGGAACCCCTGACCATTAGGTCCAGTCATGGCCGACTCTGGGGTTGCGGTGCTCATCTCGCTTTACTGGCTGAGGGAGCCGGCGTACAGCTTCCGGGTCATGTGGCCAGCATGACTAAGCCGCTTCTGGCGAACCAGAGCAGCGCATGGAAACACCGTTTACCTTCCCGCCGGAGTGGTACCTATTTATCTACTTGCACTTTGACGTGCTTTCGAAGTGCTAGGTTGGCAGGAGCAGGGACCGAGCAACGGGAGCTCACCTGTCACGGGGATTCAAACCGCCAGCCTTCTGATCGGCAATTCCTAGGTTCTGTGGTTTAACCCACAGCGCCACCCACTACCTTTTTATCGGTGGCTACTAGCCAGAATGGTTCTGCTCTTCTTCCACAGTTGGAGGCAGTGGTGCTTCTGAATGCCAGATCCTGGAAACCACAGAAGGAGACAGGACTCTTGGGCTCAAGTCCTCCTTTACAGGCTTTCAACAGGAATCTGGTTGGCAACTGTGACAACAACATGCTGGACTATGTGGGCCACTGGGCTGCTCCAGCAAGCTCTTAGGTTCTTCGGTGTTGTATCCAAAGGGGTGAGAGAAGCCGCTCCGGTCGGAAACAGCGGTTTCAGCTCTCTGCAAACTTCTGGAGAGGTTTGCAGCTCATCGCCTGCAGTCAAGAATGCCTTCGTTGCAAAGGCAGGAAGAGAGCAGATCCCCATATGTTTGCCTTGATGAATTGGCATGGTAATTTGCTCGGTGTAGCAGAAAACGCCGCACTTTCCCATTCCTGTCTCCCTTTACGACTTGCACATCCTCCGAGGACGTGGCCAAGGTCAGGTGTGCAATGGTGAGAGACTGGGAGGCTTCGCACATAATGCACCAAGCAGAAACTGGAAGGGAAATAAACTGCTTGCAGCCAAGGATGCCACAGATCTTTTAGGAACGCAGTGCAGAAGCTGACCTCTTAATTCAAGGACCAAGTAATCTTCAGATCAGAATATGGAACATTTAGCATTTTGGATTCCACCACACACATCTATGGGTTCTTCATAGAATTGTAGAGCTGGAAAGGATGCCCAAGTCTTATTTACTCCAACCCCTTGCAAACTAATTGTGCTGGGCCCGGGGTAACCCGTGAAACGTGGTCCAGGACCGGTCCAGAATCTGAAGGCTCCACTAGGAGTCAGTCCAACAAGGCCAAGGCAGGACACGAAGCAGGAAACCAGGCAAGGACAGGTACAGGATCTAGCATATAGCACTGTTGCTCCCGCAACCTGGGGTGGGGTCCGACAGCCTTTTATCTTTGTCGGGGTAGCGGCCGGTCCTGATCCCCCGGCGACTCACCTCCCTGTTTCGCCCAAAGGCAAGCACTCCTCCTGCGAGTACTCAGGTCTCTCCTTCTCTCAGACCTTAGTCTCTGCAGCTCAGGAGACGTCGGTGGGTTACTAGACCCAGAGGCTGCCTCAGCGTCCCCTGACCCAACTGGTAGTGGAGCAGCTGTAAGTGATGGCCCAGCTGAAGGCAACGAGGTCATCCTCGCATCTGGAGCCAGGGCAGGATCAGGCCCCTGACTCGGCCCAGCTGGTGTTTGTTGCAGGGGAACCTGTGCAGACCGGGGCTCTTCAGGATCAGGCCCCAGACTTGGTTCAGATGATGCCTGAGGCAAAGGATCCGGTGCAGGCTGAGTCTCCTCTGGTTCCGAGTCCGAGCCCGAGTCCCAGGCCATCACACTAATGAATCTTTGTTGAAAACCTCCAATGAAGGAGAGTCTACCACCTTCCAAGGAGTTCCATTCCACTGTCAAACAGCTTTTACGATCAGAAAGTTCTTCCTAACGTTTAGCTGGACTCTCCTTTCTTGTCATTTGAGTTCATGAGATCCTACCCTCTAGAGCAGCTGAAAACGCGCTTGCACCCACCATCCATGAGACAGTCCTTTGAATATTTGAAGGTGACCATCATAGCATCTCTCAGTCTTCTCCAGGCTCATCCCCAACTCCCTCAACCATTACTCATAAGTCTTGGTCTCCAGACCATTTACCATCTTGGTCGCCTTCCTCTGCATAACGTTCACGTTGGGATGTTGTTGTTGTTGTTGTTTAGTCGTTTAGTCATGTCTGACTCTTCGTGACCCCATGGACCAGAGCACGCCAGGCACTCCTGTCTTCCACTGCCTCCCGCAGTTTGGTCAAACTCATGCTGGTAGCTTCGAGAACACTGTCCAACCATCTCGTCCTCTGTCATCCCCTTCTCCTTGTGCCCTCAATCTTTCCCAGCATCAGGGTCTTTTCCAGGGAGTCTTCTCTTCTCATGAGGTGGCCAAAGTATTGGAGCCTCAGCTTCACAATCTGTCCTTCCAGTGAGCACTCACACATTGGGATACAGTCAAGTAAACCTACTATATCAAGCAGTTACCTCTATAGAATGCTTTGTGTGGCTTAATCCAGCCCTGAATGCCCAGGTGCGCCAAGAACGGGCAATGCTCATCTGCCTTGTTGGCAGATGGCAGGAAAATGTCTTGGGTAACCACCTCCAGAGCTCATCCTTTGTGTTTGCCAGGTGACTGGGTCAAGACAGACAGGTTTGGACTTCGCAAGAGCACGTGAGTCATGTTGTGTCATCTTCTAACCAGGTGAATGAATGCCTCTTTTTTTAGGATCACTAAGGCAAGACAGAACCTGCTTTCTAGCAGACAAAACTGACAGCGTGCAGGGTGGTTTTATTGCCCTGGGTAGTAAACTGGCTTGGCTCTCTGAGGATGCTCTTGCAATGGAACCCAACCCATGCAGTCAAGTCCTAGTTGCTATCAGCAGATGCCTCCGGTGACAGCCGTATGCTGTGGCTTTCATCAAGATGACATCTAGCCCAGCATCCTGTTCTCACAATGGCCAAGCAGATACCCCTGGGAAGCCTTCAAGTAGGACCAAGTGTCAGGGACTGGACTGAGGAGGAATGGTATTGATTTAGAACAGTAGTTTGCAGAAGGGCATAGTCCAGAGGGGGAAATCTGGGAAATACTGGGTGAGGGACAGCTAGAAAAGGAAACGGCAGTAGAGAGACAGCTGGCAGATTCAGTGTCCTTGGACCGCACTCCTGAATCCCCCCCCCCCCTCGCCGAAGACTAGATGGGCTTGGAAAGTGATAGAACAGAAAGTGCAACGGCAACAAGCTCAGATTGCCCAATGTAGGAGTGACATAGATTAATGGGGACGGAAGGGGTAAACCTTTAGTAGGAACACCGCCATTTTTAGAGAGAGAGATGCATTCCTTTGTCTCTCGCCGTGATTATTAAAGAACTCATCTGGTAAGCAGGCTCCTTTTGTTTGATCTGCTTATTTACTGCCCCCAGGGGAGGGATCTGATCCCCCGAAGCTTGACACCAAGTCATGCAAGGGTCTTTGCAGAACTCCAAGCCATATTGGATTGTGTGGTGGCTATCAACCTGAAGGAGAAATAGACAAATTCACAAAGATTAAGGCTCTCGATGGCTATTGACCATGATGTCTATGCCGTGCCTCATAGGCGTCAACTCCTAGGGGCCGAGGTTGGGGGCTGGGGGCCCGCAAAGTTGACGACCATTGCCATTCAAATGGGGGGGTGCTGCATCTTGTGATTGATTATGTGGGGTGGGGCTTACCTGGGGCCCCCAATGTTTTATTCAAGTTGCCCCCCCCCGCTGCACCTCCACAGTTGGAGTCAGCAATGCTTCCGAATACCAGTTGCATCTGGGGACACTTTAATTAATTAATTAATTAATTAATTAAATACCACACATTTGGGACGTTGATGCTGCAGCGATGGCGGTGGCAGAGGGGCAGCCGCCACCTTGACCTCAACTGCCACGTTTCCCCTTCCTCCGAGGCGTCTATCTCCTTTCTCCATGAGCCTGGGCAGCCCCTGAGTTGTTGGTTCTTCGGTGGTGGTGGTGGGGAAGCGGTGCGCGGTGGGTCAGGCATGGAAGGCGGAGAAGGAGGGCAGAGAGCGGCGGCGGCGGCGAGGCTCAGACAGCATGATGCCTCCCTTCCCATCGGAGCAGCCCCAATCCCACTCCTACTTGCATGCATGCCTCCATGCACCACCATCAGATAGGAGGGGGCAGGAATCCCTCAGCTGTGAAGTGAGGCTTCACGCTGCCTTTCGGAGCAGCCCCATCCCAACTCCTACTTGCGTGTAAGCAGAAGGGGCAGGGATCTCTCAGGCAGCAGGGTGCCTCCCTTCCCATCGGAGCAGCCCCAATCCCATTCCTACTTACGTGTAAGCAGGAGGGGAGCCCTCAGCTGGGAAGGGAGGTTTCCCGCTGCCTAACTGAGAGATCCCTGCCCCCTCCTGCTTGCACGCAAGCTCTGATAGGCAGCGTGAAGCGTCCCTTCCCAGCTGAGAGATCCCCGCCACGCTCCTGTTTGCATGCAAGTAGGAGTTGGGAGGCTGCTCTGATAGGCAGCATGAAGCCCCCCTTCACAGCTTAGTTGCGGGGGTCAGGGAAGGTGGAGGCAGCCCGGAAGCTGCATCTTTGAGCCCCTGCATCACCATCAGATGGGGACTTCTGAGCAGCTCCTGAAGCCAGCCAGAGCCAACTGCTCCAGGCTGCTGAGACTGCTGCTGCTGCGTTTCCCGGGGACATTAGATGAAATCCGGGGACATTCCGGGGATGGAATTTGTCCGGGGACTTATTCGCAAATCCGGGGACTGTCCCCGGGAAATGAGGACGTCTGGTAACCCTATCTTATGCTCCTCTTGTAACCACAATGGCTATATTCGAGGCAGTATGCTTACAAATCCCAGCTGCCAAGAATTGAAGGTCCTGCTTCCAAGTTTCCCATCTGGTTGGCCCCTGTGAAATTGGGGTGCTGGACTAGATGGGCCCTTGGCCTGATTCAGCAGCCGGGGTTTCTTAAGTTCTCAAATCACCTCCTCACTCATTGCTCCACTTCAAGATAAACAGCCAAGGCAACATCCACGAGCAAACAGAAGAGCTTTCGGGCCTTGCATCAATTTCCAGGCAAACCATGTAATCTCGCAAGTAACTGCTAGTCATACCGTATATCTATCATTGGGCTCTCAATGAATGGTTGTATTTCTCAAAATTATGCTCTGGTGGAGAGTTTTCGGCTGTCAACAAACCAGCTGTGTTTACTGATTTCACCACAATGATGCCATTGCAGGTCCCACCCACCCCACCCTCAATGTTGTGATAAGGATGCCCTGCTGGGTGTTGACTTTAGGACATGTGCTCTTCAATGGGGGCAGGGAAAGAAGGCTTCCCCCCCTTTGAAAAGGACTTTGGCAAACCACCTCAGTTCTCTGTCTTGGATGAGCAGTTTAGCATCCAAGCTGAGCATTTCTTCTTCACAACAACAACAACAACAACAACAACAACAACAACAACAATTTATTTATACCCCGCCCATCTGGTCGGGCCTCCCCAGCCACTCTGGTGGCTTCCAACAAAATTTTAAAATACAGTAATGCATCAAACATTAAAAGCTTCCCTAAAGAGGGCTGCCTTCAGATGTCTTCTAAAAGTCTGGTAGTTGTTCTCTTTGACATCTGGTGGAAGGGCATTCCACAGGGAGGGCGCCACTACCGAGAAGGCCCTCTGCCTGGTTCCCTGTAACTTGGCTTCTCATAGTGAGGGAACCGTCAGAAGGCCCTCGGCACTGGACCTCAGTGTCCGGGTAGAACGATGGGGGTGGAGATGCTCCTTCACTACCTTTCCATTCCAAGCCATTTCTTTCTTTCTTTTAAAAGGATTGGATTTCTGGTACGTAATGACAAATATATAACATCCCCCAACCCTCAAACCATACAAGAAGAAGAAGAAGAAGAAGAAGAAGAGGAGGTGCTTGG